TCAGGTTTGAGTCTCCTCAGGGTCCTTGCCCTCCCAACCTTCATTTCTGTGCACATCAATCTTGCTTTTTCAAATTAAATTTTGCTATGATGTGATTTGCCTGCTTCTATGATGCCATACAATCACCATTGAGGACATGCACCTGGTTTTTCACCTCACTACTACGTGCTTCCGCGCAAGGATTTTCACCAGCTGGCGCGGTCCAGGAATTAATCTGACCATCCCACGTACTTCAATTAGCAGCGCTGTTCTGCATTGTGACCCGTCCTTGTAATCCTCGTGCATACCGTCTTCTTTCCATTTAAAACATTCTGTTCTCAGTCAGTATTTCTAGACTTCTCCCGTTATCCGGTTCACATCTATCTGCGCTCAACTGTCCTTCAATTAGTGTGTTGTTCCTATTTATGAATATGTCTGTCTGTCAAACAGAGAGGTTCCAGGCTGTCCAAGAGAGTGCTCAATACCGAGAGGCAGAGAGGGTTCAGACAATAAGAGGACAAAGATAATATTTTAACTCTGCGTTTCACGCACTAAGCGATCATCAGAAAACAGTTATCCGTACAGCTGAACAAACGAGTCACGTTGGTCATACATGAACATGTACGCAGAACTAACGTAAGTCGTTGTTACTTCACTACCGGCTGACATGTTCTTGCATGAACCGGAGAGCGAAGTGTTCTTGACAGAATCTTGTTCAAGTTTGTTAGGACAGATCGTGGACACGTACTGGTTCATATGGCACGGGACGCGACGACCTTGGAGAACACACTCGAGCCAATCACCTTAGAGAGCACGCTCGTGCTTTTTGTGAGCCAATCATCGTTCCCGTTTCCATGAGAAGATTTGACCAATCTGTGAGCATCATTTTCGGGAGTCGGTTAATAGACAGCAATAGCGAGGTTTTGCATTCCGAAATTCGGCAAAAAGATTCGGCACGCGGGAGCGAGGTCGAAAATGCACACGAAGATTCGGCGTGTTTGTTCGGAAAAAGCTCACTTTGCCGAAAATATTTTTCGGATGCATTTTCTTGTAGAAGAGCGCTAGAGCGTGATTTATTCAAAGAGGTTTCTTAACTCGGCATCGCTTGGCAGGCATCTTTGGCGACATAGCATCGTCAGCAACCTCTGATTGCTCCTCTCCACTGCCTGTCTACTCTCTTTCGCCTGGAGTGTCCTCACCGTCATCTGTGTGGCTGAAAAGACTATGGCGACATGCATAAAATTTGACTTGGCCAAGGAGTTGGTTTTTCTGAGGCGACTGAGGAGGCAGGTTTGGCCCTTGACTCTTTGGGCGATCAAAGTTCGTTGGAATCAGCAAGAAAAGGAGCACGGGACAGGACGTTGCTGATGCTGGGGCTCACGAAATGAAAACACATCATTTTAAAAACAAACGTTGGTGCGAAAATTCGACATTTTGATGTTCGACAAATGACCGAAGAACGCTGTACCGAAATTCGGAATGCAAAACCTCACTAGTCTAAGCGATTCTGCCCTCCCATATTTTCTTTCCAGGCAGCGCTCCGGAGCTGTTGCTTGCCCTAGAAAAGTTCTACGCCAACGTCCATAAGCAAAACATTTCTGAGTACAAACGAAATTCCTTGATCCGCTATCCATGCACATGCCGATCGAACAAAACCTTGTTTGCTCGCTGGCTGATGACTTGTCACCACCTGGTCACATGCCGATTTCATTTGTACTCAGAAAAGTCCTGTTTGCAGAAGTTAGCGTAGAAATGTCCTACGGCACTCGCCATCTCCGGTGCGCTGACTGAAGAGAAATCAAGCGCAGCACCAAGTACTGTTCTCTTTACAGTAAGTATCGAAAAGTGGTGAATATAAGCGGTGAATATCTACCAATATCCACTACGCCTGTAGATGGCCAATTGCATGAGGGTGAATATGTAATGAAGTATAAGCCAGTGTATATAGAGCAAGAAGGTAGACAAGAAGGTATGTATTTTTGTGTGTTTTCGTGTATGTATATAGGATACAGACAGACTAAGACAACAATAGTAACAGCACACAAATTGAAGGGCAGTTGAGTGCAGATAGATGAGAACAGGATAAAGAGAGCAGTATTATGTTAAAAGGAATAACGCACCTGTTTCTTCAGAGAGCTCCGCTTCATCCTCCTCGTACAGGTTTGCGATGCGTTCGTCCGTTGACCACATGGCATGGCTGTAGATACACACGGCCACGCACACACACACACACACACACACACACACATGCACACACACACACACACACACACACACACACACACACACACACACACACACACACACACACACACACATACAAACCCACAAACACATTCAAAATGAACAAACATGGAAAATACTAACCATTTGTTGACAAAATTCGATACTTGCACACACACATGTAGCTGCCCACATTGCTAGCCGTACTCCTGCACGCATTCCTGCTCATACTCTTGCCAACGCCCAAAATCCTGCCCACACTCCTGTCTGCACACTTTGCCCACGCTGCCCCTGCACACACTCCTAGCCCACACTCCATTCCCACACTTCTCAGTCCACACTCCCCCACCCACACTCCCCCTGCCCACACTCCCAGCCCATACTTCTCTGCCCACACTCTCGCCCGCCCACACTTCTCTGCCCACACTTCCCTGCCCAAACTTCTCTGCCCAGACTTCTCTGCCCACACTCCCCTGCCCACACTCTCCCTGCCGACACTCTCCCCGCCCACACTTCTCTGCCCACACTCCCCTGCCCACACTCCCGTGCCCACACTCCCCTGCCCACACTTCCCTGCCCACACTCCCCTGCCCACACTCCCCTGCCCACACTTCTCTGCCCACACTCCCTGCCCACACTCCCTGCCCACACTCCCTGCCCACACTCCCCCGCCCACACTCTCTCCCGCCCACAATCCCTGCCCACACTCCCCTGCCCACACTCTCCCCCGCCCACATATATCTGCCCACACTCCCCTGCCAACACTTCTCTACCCACTCTTCTCTACCATGGCTCCGGGTTCACAGATGTGTGTTTACTGGCTGACATTATGCCATCCTTGGTTAGTGCACCCACACAGTTACTGGCCACGGTGTGAGCGGGCCTAGCTTCCCCAGGAGACCCCCTTTCAGAAGAACAGTGTACACTCTGCCCACACTCCCTACCCACACTCCCCTGCCAACACTTCTCTGCGCGCATTCCTGATCAGACTCCTGCCCACATTCCTGCCCACACTCCTGCCAACACTTCTCTCCGCACATCCCTGATCAGACTCCTGCCCACACTCCTGCCAGCATTTCTCAACACACTCATACTCCTCCCCTCACTTCTCTGCTCGCATTCCTGATCACAATCCTTCCCACACTCCGTCCCACGCTGCTCAGTCCTGCCCGCCCTCCTCAGTCTTGCCCGCCCTCCTCAGTCCTGCCCACCCTCCTCAGCGCTGCCCGCCCTCCTCAGTCCCGCCTACACTGCTGCCTACAATCCTGCCTGCACTCCTCACTCCGGCCTGCCCTCCTCAGTCCTGCCCGCACTCCTCACTCCGGCCTCCCCTCCTGGCCGCACAACTGCCTGCACTACTGCCTACACTTCTGCCTACACTACCGCCTACACTACTGCCTACACTACTGCCTACACTTCTGCCTACACTACTGCCTACACTACTGCCTACACAACTGCCACACTACTGCCTACACTTTTGCCTACACTACTGCCTACACTACTGCCTACACTACTGCCTAAACAACTGCCTACACTACTGCCTACACTACTGCCTACACTTCCTACACTTCTGCCTGCACTACTGCCTACACTACTGCCTACACTACTGCCTACACTACTGCCTGCACTACTGCCTACACTACTGCCTGCACTACTGCCTACACTACTGCCTACACTACTGCCTACACTACTGCCTACACAACTGCCTTCACTACTGCCTACACTACTGCCTACACTACTGCCTACCCTACTGCCTACACTACTGCCTACACTACTGCCTACACTACTGCCTACACTACTGCCTACACTACTGCCTGCACTACTGCCTAAACTACTGCCTACACTTCTGCCTACACTACTGCCTACAATACTGCCTACACTTCTGCCTACACTACTGCCTGCACTACTGCCTACACTACTGCCTACACTACTGCCTGCACTTCTGCCTACACTACTGCCTACACTACTGCCTACACTACTGCCTGCACTACTGCCTACACTACTGCCTACACTACTGCCTGCACTACTGCCTACACTTCTGCCTACACTACTGCCTACACTACTGCCTACACTTCTGCCTGCACTACTGCCTACACTACTGCCTACACTACTGCCTACACTACTGCCTTCACAACTGCCTACACTACTGCCTACACTACTGCCTACACTACTGCCTACACTACTGCCTACACTACTGCCTGCACTGCTGCCTACACTACTGCCTGCACTACTGCCTAGACTACTGCCTAAACTACTGCCTACACTTCTGCCTACACTACTGCCTACAATACTGCCTACACTTCTGCCTACCCTACAGCCTGCACTACTGCCTACACTACTGCCTACACTACTGCCTGCACTTCTGCCTACACTACTGCCTACACTACTGCCTACACTACTGCCTACACTACTGCCTACACTACTGCCTACACTACTGCCTGCACTACTGCCTACACTACTGCCTACACTTCTGCCTACACTACTGCCTACACTACTGCCTACACTACTGCCTACACTACTGCCTGCACTACTGCCTGCACTACTGCCTACACTACTGCCTACACTACTGCCTACACTACTGCCTGCACTACTGCCTACACTACTGCCTGCACTACTGCCTGCACTAGCGCGTGCGCGCGTACTCTCAGAAGAGTTGTGCAGCATGGTCTTCGCCAACGCTCAGTGCTGCTGAAGAGTTGCTAGGGGAATGTCCCGCTCGCGTATGGTGGGTTCTCGACCGTGTTGCTCCTGTAACAGAGCGTCAGGAACTTGCCGGTCATGTTCCTGTGCAGCAGATGGGAGGTGCTGCATTAATTGTTACCCAGGGAGAGACGATAAACGTACAAACTTTGGTAATGCCAATCTGCAAGCCACAGCTGTTGTAGTCGGAGCTACAGGTTCTTTGCTGGACGCTCCGCCTGTTTGTGCCCCTGGTTGGGTACCCCGCAGCTCACGGGTGGTGCTGGGCTCCGGTCCCGTGTCATCTGTCTCCGGTACCGTGTCATCTACATGTATTTCGCAATCTCGCACAATAGTGACTTGCGACTCAGCCGCTGCGTCATCGCCGACTATTGATTCCGGGACACTGCCTCGGAAGTCATTGAGTGTGGAACCGCCTGTTCCTCCGCTCTTGAGTGAAAATGATAATAGCACCAGGTCCATTGTGTCCAGTATCTCGGAATGTGGGACCCCAAATGGACAATGTGTGCGTGTGGATATGACCAGGAATGAAGGCCAGGTGATTGATGATTCTCTCCTTTGTGACAATCCTCGTCCTGAGCCGGCTGCTGTGATTGCAACTGCTCCCCGCCCTGCAATCATTTCCGCTGGTCCGGTGGTGGGTGATGCTGCTGATGTATCCTCATCCATATGGGGTAGAGGTCCTGAGTTAATTGATTGGATGCGCCAGTCATATCAGCAGGTGGTCACCTGGAGACGGAATCTGTTCATGGTGCTCTCTGGCTCAGTTGGTAAACAATTTGTTTCGCTAATAGCTGATTTCATTTCATCATTTGCTAGTAACAGTCCTACAAGCTGCGTTGCTTGGGACGTTCTTCTTCAGCGCCCTGGTCGGGATAGCACGAGTCAGGACAACGTGTCACACCTGCGGCGGCGCCTAGACAGCTGGTCGTCTGGTCGACTCTCTGAACTGCTCTCGGAAGGGAGATGTATACAGGCTCATATTCCGATTGGTAGCCATGCAGCTAGCGAGTCCGATGTTATGTCGGATACAGTGTTTGCGAATCTCGTTCACCGTGGCAACTTACATCATGCCATGGCGGGTTTATCCCAGGGTGGTGGTAGACCTCTCAAGCCAAATGAAATCGCAGTACCCTCCACTGGTGCGACGGTTCTGGATGTACTTCGCGATAAGCACCCGACTCCTGTGGAGCCACCTGAAACCGTTTTGTTGGGCAATGATGCAGCACCGGTCAATGACATAGTATTTGAACGTATTTCAGCAGCAGGCATTAGGAGGGTGGCTGGCAGTATGAAGGGATCCGGTGGTCCGTCTGGCCTGGATGTGCAGGCCTGGCAGCGTATGCTCTCGGCCTTTAACCTTTAAAGCCTTTTTAGGTGTTCTTCAAATTTGGCTGCTGCTCTTGCTGCTGCTGCCAAGAGGATATGCACGACGGATGTAGACCCTGCTTTTCTGTCGGCTTTGTTGCGGCACGGCTCGTGGCATTGGACAAGAGACCAGGTGCGCACCCGATTGCGGTGGGGGAAGTCGCTCGCCGGATCATCGCTAAGGCTGTGTTGCAGTGTATATCGTCTGATATTGCGACAGCCGTGATCCCTCATCAGCTGTGTGTTGGTGTGCCGGCGGCTTGTGAGGCGGCTGTGCGTGCCGTCCAGGAACAATATCTCGCCGATGACACTGATGCAATCTTACTAATCGATGCATCTAATGCCTTTAACGCAATCAACAGGAAGGCCGACTTGCATAATATCGCACGTGTTTGTCCACCGATGGAAAAAATTGTCGTAATACATATGGTGCGGATATTCCACTATTTCTTCCTGGTGGCGTAGTATTGTACTCGCGCGAGGGAACTTGTCAGGGAGACCCTCTGGCCATGGCCACGTTTGCTCTTGCGGTGGCTCTTATGATTTGTAAACTCCGTGAGCAGCACCCTGATGTGAACCAATGCTGGTACGCGGATGATGGCGAGTCTGGTGGTAGATTGGCGGCCGTGCATTCGTTTTGGAAATCCATCGAGGAGGTTGGCCCGAAGTATGGATATTACCCTAATGCAGCTAAGACAATTCTTCTGGTGAAACCCATCCTGGAGTCTGAAGCCCAAGAGCTGTTCGACCCTACGGGTATACGTGTGCTAACCAATGGTGTTCGCTATCTTGGTGGAGCCATTGGTGAGAAGGAATTCGCACAGGAGAGCCTGTGTCGTCATGTTTCCGTATGGTGCAGGGAGGTCGGTACTCTCTCCACTCTGGCGGAAACCCAGCCACATGCTGCGTATTCTGTCTTCTCCTGTGGATTGAGGTCGCGTTGGCGCTACCATACGTGCTCGCATGGCTTGCCGGAGCCGGATGCTTTCGGCAGGCTAGATAATGTGATTGACAACAACTTGATACCAGCAATCACTGGTCAAAATAATATGTCCACCGTTGAGCGGAGTCTCATCGGCTTGCCCGTCAAGTCCGGTGGTCTCTCAATTCCTACCATTGGGCCTCATGCAGTGCATCAGTGGACCTCCAGTATGGCCTCGTCACGGCCGGTGATTGATTTGCTTCGTCGCCCTGATGCTGACATTGCTCCGGTTGATTTACAGGCGGAGGTAATGGCGTTGCGAAATGCCGAACGTCGGAGAATGGCTACTGCGGCTAAGGAGGCTCAGGTTGCTTTGCGTCCTGAGCTCAGCCCATGTCAGCGGGTGCTGTTGGAGATTGCTGCTGATGCTGGCGTTTCCAGTTGGCTAACGGCTCAGCCTCTGGCTGTGAACGGTTTTGCGCTAAATAACGCATGTTGCCGGGATGGTCTCGCCCTGAGCTATGGCTGGGGTATTGACGGCCTCCCACCAACTTGTGTGTGTGGTAGAGACATGTCTGTCGACCATGCATTGACATGCCCTACAGGGGGCTACCCAAGTCTGCGACACAATGAGCTTCGTGATGTGCTGGTGGAGGTGATGACTTCTGCCATCCCGGATGTTCAAACACAGCCACGGCTTTTGCCGTTGGATAGTGAACAACTTCACGGCGCTACCGCTAATCGTGCTGCAGAGGCTCGATTGGATATCCGTGCAAGGGGCTTTTGGTCGCCACAGCAAGATGCATTCTTTGATGTGAGGGTTACTAACCCCTCGGCGTCTTTGCTGTCGCGACGGGAAGTCCTTGCACAGATTTCCCGAATGAACATCAGAAGAAGCCTATCTTCAGCGTGTTGTCGATGTCGAGAGGGGGTCATTCACTCCGCTCGTATTTTCGACAAACGGCGTATGTGGCACGGAGTGCTCTCGTGCATTGAAGAACATTGTTCAGCTGCTGGTTAACAAGCATAGTGACCTCCAGTACGCTGTTGTGATGGCACAGCTACGCTGCAAAATTGCATTTGTTTTGCTGAGGTGGTCAATCACGTGCCTCCGTGGTTGCAGAGCGTCTTACTTGAGGAAGAGAATAGGCCCATCTTTTCTCGAACAATGTCGCCTTCTGTCCATGTAACCGCCTTCGGTATTCATAATGTTGGCCTATTTAACATTGGCATGCTCTGCGGATTTGTAGGCATGCTAGGCAATTTAAATATCCTGCAAAGTATTTTGTAGGTGCGTGACTACTACGTCATGTACTACAATTGGTGCATGACTTAATAATAGCTGTCTGGCATGATAAAAAAAAAAATTCACGGTTCGCGTGAGACTCGGCCAAAGGCCCAGTTTTCCGCATCCGCAGGAACGCCACCACCCTCTTGGATCAAGGCGCAGATGCAGCTCCTAAACGGTGGGAGGTGAGTAGATCAGACCCACCACAAAGTGGTCAAAGACCGAAATCCCATTCACTGCATCCATGTTTCCCTCGTGCCAGGCCACGAGTTCCCAATTAACTGTGGGTCGCAGCACGGCTGGAAAAAATCCTTCCGCTTCCAAGCAGGACTTGAACCTGGTACCCTCTGTTTCTCAATCATGGTCTTAGACCATCCCACTATGCCTGCCTGCTACATGCATGATACAATAACCTTTTTTTATTTTTATTATTATTTTTGTAATGGCTTTCTCTTCTTCCTCGGATGGTTAACAATCTGTATCACAATTATTTGTGGGTTAAGCAATAAAGAATGTGACTACTACTGCCTACACTACTGCCTACACTACTGCCTACACTACTGCCTACACTACTGCCTACACTACTGCCTACACTACTGCCTACACTACTGCCTACACTACTGCCTACACTACTGCCTACATTACTGCCTACACTACTGCCTACACTACTGCCTACACTACTGCCTACATTACTGCCTACACTACTGCCTACACTACTGCCTACACTACTGCCTACACTACTGCCTGCACTACTGCCTACACTACTGCTTACACTACTGCCTACACTACTGCCTACACTTCTGCCCGCAGTTCCCTTCACACACTTTACCACACACTAGGATTTAGGCTGTACACCCGTTCATGCACTCACCACAATATGCTGAAGTGATTATTTCCAAAACATGTCATTAAGCAAGCAGTGTAGGGAAATTATCGCCACTGCCTACTGACCAGTACTTTGGCCGAGTGGTTGTGGGCTTTCCTGCGAATCCCAAGGTTCTGAGTTCAAGACCATTGCTGACACCAGTGAGAGTGTACTGTCTTAACAAATGCTGTGATGCAAGCGTGAAGCACTTTACATGCAGTTAACTGCTCTGACAACCACTGTCAACTGTGTACTCACTACACTGTATTCGTAGTGAGGGTAACATAGATGCAGCTAAGGAGGTTTGCACCTTGTCAGGCATTGCTTGTGATACTTACTAAGTCATCCTCACTGTCACGTGCTGCATCTGCCACCCTAGTATCTCAGGCAGGGTGGTGGCCTTGTACAAGCAAAACTTCCTAAACTGGTTGTGTTTCTCAACACAATTGCATAGGCGGTTTGGTTGCGTATCTGCGATCTATACTTTCTTCTGCTTATGTACTTCAAATAGGGAAGGGTGTTTTAAAGAGGATCTGTGAACTACACAGCTCAATAAGACCTTTCTGGTTTCTAGGGATGACGACACCGACACATGAAAATACCACATGAAAAGACTACATGAAATGACCACATGCAAAAAGTCAGATGCCGCTTTTTTACAGATGGAGAGGAAAATTCAGATCCACCAATTACAGTATATGGGCGAAGGTGAAAACCCACTTTCTGCATCAATGTTGCCCTGTTTTCCACACCTCGTGTTCCCAACTCACTGTGGTGTACAGCACAGTTGAAGCAATTCTCTTCAAGTCAGGACTTGATCATTATACATATACCTGTCATTGCACAATCATGGTCTGAGAACTCAGTCACTGGGCCGGCCTGACTGATTATGTTGGAAATGGTGCAGTACATTTCACTGAACTTTACACAGGACTGATTCAACGGTTCTATACTTCATTGTTGAGTAATGCATGCGTAGAACTTACAGTGGTGAAGTGGATAGGAAAATTCCACAGCTGCCATTAGCAGCGTGATGCTCAGCATGGCCTGATACATTCAACAGGAAAGAACAGAAAACAGATTTTAAAACTATCCCTGTCTCTGTGCAGAAGTATTCGATTATAGGAATGGGTATCAAATCATCAAGGTTAGCATAACACACATACCTAACTAGTCATGTGTGCATTATCCACAGAGAAAATAGTTCATTTTTTCGTATAGAATCCCATGCAAACTGAAGTTCTCTTTGAGACCTGAGCAAGCCCATAGATCAAGTTGTGTTGCAAGATAGTGTGAAGTAGACATTTGCACACAAGTAAACTAACACTAGCATACAAGGAGCACACATGGTGTATTGAGCACATTCAACTTTACCAGCATCATCTTGGCGAGCAGCAGTGGACTGACTGGCTTGATCAGAGTGTGACTGGCTGCTCGAAGGAACGCTCTCCGCGGAGTCTGATTGAACAGTCGAGGAAATAGCTCCGGCAGAGACCGGCTGGACGGCTTGCACCCGACGCTTCCGGAATATGTCCGGGAAATCGGTGGCCAGCTGCAGTGAGGAGAGTAACAAATATACAAACAAGCAACAAACATGGCTCTGATATCAACATCAGCTAGTGTCAATATCATCCACACCACTGAGAGTGAAATCAATGAGAGGTACACGGCCGAGAATACATTGTGCATTACGTAATGGTAGGTTACAGAACTGATGTTTTTGTTGAGTAAAATGTTAGAACAACTTGCATACATCAACAGAGACACATAGGCAGAGAGGCGGGGGGGGGGAGAAGTAGAGAGAGACTGGGAGAGAGAGAGAGACTGAGGGAGACTGAGAGAGAGACTGAGAGAGAGGGGCGTGCGCAACAGGCCATCACACTCACCAGTTCTTCATGCTGCCGTAGCACCTTGCAGATCTTTGCAAAGCGCTGGGCGTTCGGTGATTTCACTAGCAGCTGGTGAAGCTTGGTCGAGGTGTGATGGTAGTCGGTAACTGCCCAGCTGTGGACCAAAACTGCAGCACATGATGAAGATGATGATGTAAGGCCCAGGCAGGTGGCTAGCGCAGGCAGGTCGGACTCACCAAGGCCTTCTCGGATGGACTCAAAGGACTGTGCAGAGAGCAGTGAGGCATGGTTGACCGGCCATTCGAGAAGAAGCGGGGCACGATCAACGTAACGTTGGCTAGTGGAGAGATGACCCTTTGTTGCTACGGATGATCGGACTTCCTCTGCGTCGTACACAGCGAAATCAAACTTGTCGCTTGGCTCGTGGAGGTGTTGACGAATGGAAGCAGAGCTGATGATGCTTGTGGAGTAGCTAGTACCCGGGCTATACTGTGCTGCCAGGTCACCAAACACCTTGCGCAACAGAGCCAGCAGACAATAGCCATCTAGCGTATCTTCAACGGGCGCATGGACAACAGCGACAGCTTGGCGCAGGCTGTCCGTGACGGAGATGCAACCACGGGCTGTGGAATGGACTGGAGCCACTACCACCAGATTCTTCCAGAGCTCAGCAGGAATGCCGTGAAGCTCGTGGAAATAGGCGTACAGCTCTGTCTGTAGCCGGATAACTAGAGCAGTGGAGAAGCAGTGCTGAGTCGTGAAAGAGACTCCTGCGCACGCCGACCGAGATGATGAATCTTTCTTGGCCAGTGAGCCGAGGCAGTTGTCAGCGGTCGGAAGACGGCTGGGTGCCAGGATCCTTTCTTTCTCCTGCAGCAACACACCTAGTTGTACTACCATCTGCAGCAGCAGACCGCCCCGACCTTCTGCTCCCTCGCAGCTGTTAAGCTTGTCCAGGACTTCTTGGAACATTGCAACACCATCTTTGAAGTGGAGCATATCTTCATCATCAAGCCCAGGTGGTGCGAAGATGAGACCAATGGCCTTGGAGAGCAACCAGTTGGGTCGGTTAACAATGATGTCGTCCAGGTCAGGGGATGAGAAAGAAACAATCTAGAAACAAAAACACGATATGCAAAACCATACACACAGCAACACACATAGTTGTAAGCCGACACGCGATACATGCCCAAACATGGATGCACACACATCCCACACGCATGCGCAGACAGAAGGATATTAAATAGGCCAAATACCTCCAAAATAGAACAAAACAAAGCAAGTCAACCAACCAATCCTCATGACAGTACACTTTGCCTGACCCCACATTGAGAGACAATGCATACCTGTTAAATGAACCATCCTAAGTTTTAAAGAAATGGATGTAAGGGAAACGGGTACAGATTCACTGGCTTGAGTTTACGTATCCTCTCATGAACACGAATACAACCCTCTGGTGACAGCCAAAGCAGGACTATGCAGCACACCCTCATATAAACTCACTTTTGAAGATCAATCCATCTAAGGTGTAAAGCACAATGCACCCGTTCTCAATGATCTCTTTATCAGCCTAAAGCCAGCAATCTGTAGGTGATGTCCCCTGCTGTCAAGCCCCAGCTAGCCATAATGTGCACAGCAACACACTAAACCTGTCCCACAATTTTCAATTCACCTTGAAGTTTCCAGCATCCTTACACCTACTAGTATCGGTGTATAGCTGGTCTAGCACTAAATAATAGATCTTAAACTACAGCTAATTGCAGGATGGGCATCGGAATGTTCTAGATATGGGCTGTAAAAGAAGAAGGAACAAATCAAAACGGTTGCATCTTTCCCTCAAACCAACGAATAAGAACAAATCCACTTTAGGGGTCGTAGCAATTTTTTTGTTTTGTCCCTGAAACGAGCATCATTCGTTGGAGGGGTGGGAGAGGGGGGGCAAAAATCGCAAGTCGACCGACACTACAGTCCACTCATCGGAAACTGTCCCGCTGGCTTTTGAAAGTTCGATCTGGGCCGAATTGAGGATACAAACCCACTTTAAATCTCAAGAATCTCATTCTGGGTTTGGGATTTACTTCTCCACATATTTGCCATGGCATAGCTGTCTAAATTTTGTAAACCTGGCTGAATTTCTATTTCCCTGTTCTTGGGCTTTTCTGCCCTCAAATGTGGCAAGGAGTAATTGCACGGGTCACACGATGCAGGATATCTACAACTATGTGCGGGAGACACCAAAAAGGTAGGGTGCCAGTTTTCAATGAATCGGGAAAAAAATCACAAGTCGACTGATACTATACATATGCACATGACTACATTTACATGCATGTGATTTTCGTCGTCCAGCATAGCAAGTTGCGTTCGTTTCATGGAGAGTGGAGGGGGTCAAAGTAATAAATGAGCAATGTTCATTTCAGGGACGATAAAACACTTTTGCGATGATCCCTTAGAGATGTACATGACGTAGATGACATACATCATAACGTGAAATACATCTACTGCAAGTAAATTGAAATTACTCTATCTGCAGAGTATGTACATACCAGCCCATACGCATTGAGGATCTTGCGATATCGACGGATTTGTGCGGTGTTGATGCTGTCTGCATGGTCATCATACTTTATGTGGCTAGCAGCACAAAGCTGTCGAGAGAACTCCCGACTTGTTGAGAATGGCTCTTGGATGTTGTCATGCAGTTGTGCCAATATTTCCTCTGCCTGCCCGAGCACTTTGGGTTGCTTGGGAGATTTCTGAACATGCACATCAACACAGTGGGTAAAGTACTCTCTGTTCACAAACCTGATTAAACCTTTTATCGTTAATGACGTATGTATACGTCACTGAGAACGAACCCAATCCACTAATGCCGTACTTCCTCCGTAAGCTAAACTTCATTGCATATTTACAGTTCAGTATAAAGCATTCTGTGGCTACAAACACACTTTGAAAAGTGGAAAACACAGCAGCATATGAGAGATTAGTTATTTACAGATGTCACACAGCTCGTTTCAAAGCAGTCCAGCTTCACTCTTCGTCTGAATCTGATGACGACTCACTCCATGATGACATTGAGTCTGCATCCTCGCTGACTTTCGTTTATGTTCCACAGCCTTTATAAGTTGCCACAACACTAATGAATCATGGAGATCGCCAAGTTCTTTGCCAGAACTGTGAGCTTGTCGACCTCCACAGTGGCGCTGGTAGTTGTTCTCTGCCACTCTCCAGAATGCCGTGATGGAAAGAGGCATACAGACACAGCCAAACGCTCCCCATCTTGGCAACGGGGTATTCATGCCAACATGTTTCCACAGCTTTCAGTAGCTTCTTTCTGGTTTCCTTCGACACAAGTGACAAGTCTGCCTGTAGCCTGTGGAAGAATACCAAGTCGTCGAAGTTGAGATTGGAACTTTGAGTCGGCTGAATGGCAACCCAAATGTCAAACCCTTTTGCTTTCCCCTGCGCTGCTCACACACGTGCATTGATTTTGGCTGTGTGCGGACGCGCACCATCGTGCTGGTACGGCATGCAGTGGCTGGCCGGCTTCTTCGAGCAACGCATCTTTTAAACTGTTTCTCATTTTCGCACTTCGGTGTTGTCTGTGCCTGGCTGGGGTTGTGTTCTGGTGCCGATTTTCGAAAGAACTCCACCCTTTCCGGAGTTTCAAAAGCCTGTCAGAACAATAGTGAACACTGCGGCTACCCTATGTAGGGGATAGGTCACTGAAATGTTTGTCTATTGCCGACAAAAGGGACCATGAAAAGAAGACAATAAACACAACGAAGTTTTGTGTAATGGAGGAAGTGTATTATCCTCCTGAAAAGGGAAGAGCTTCCATAAAAGTATGGTGAAATAGAATGTTGTTGCAACTGCGAGTTTCCTGCATGTGAGATCATCAAACAAAAGAGGCCGTTGTTCCATGCACCGGCAGTTCTACATAGAAATTGCTCTGGGAACGTTGCGTGACCTGTGACCGACTATTAGTGTACCAAGTGCTATATCTGACCTGCATATACAGAGACCACAAGTGGCTGTCCTGACTGTCAAGCTCGACGACAACAGGCTTGAAGAAAATGAAGTGTGATCAGAAGCATGTACATGCAGTCATTGGCATGACCATGGCGGCTGTGCTGCATGCACTCGAACGAGGTGTGAAAACTCGTAGGTGCTTCGCCTTTTGAATGAAAGTGTTCTATGTACAAAAACCTGTCAATTTGTGTGTATAGAAGTATGTACACGTTCCGGGATGCCGCAAATGTACGAGACCTTATTCTAAAGACCATCTGGCTTTAATGATTGCTCTTGTTTGAGATGTTGCCTGAACGTTAATCCCTCAAAAACAAAACATACCACCGTCGTCCGATTTCCCGATAGGAACCAAGAAAAATGGCGTACTGTCCGCAAACTAGGCTCCCTCGTGAGTGATGCCGAAGATTCTACTCGGAGGCGTCAACTGGCTGCCGCCGCCTTCAGCTCACTCCTCAAGATCTGGAACCAGATATGCCAGATCAGGGAAGGTCTTCGGCTGAGGCTCTACAACGCCTACGTAATCCCTGTTCCTACCTACAACTGCGGCACTTGGGGTCTACTGATGTCGGAGCTCGTGCGAATGAATTTGTTCCCCAGGACCCAGCTAAGGAGCATCATCGATATGCGATATCCAAAATAAAATCAGGAATGACACTCTTTTCAAGTGCTGCGGAGCTGCCCCCATCAGCGAGATGATCACAGGGCAGCGCTCCAGTCTAACTGGCGATATCTTTCGTGTGGCCCCAATTGCTCCTCATCAGCTGGCAGTGGATATAATATATCTTCGCTTGGCCAACGACCATGGCACTGAACGTTTCAGGCGTCGACCTCAGACAAATTTTGGTAACGGTCTTGCAGACGGAATTGTCATCATGGCATGGACTTACCCTCCACCAGCCGCTAGATGCTGACACAGTCCGCACAATGGCAGCGGACCGACAGGCATGGCTTGGAGCCCGCCCCACATAACAGGACTGATTATCGTGATTCACATGATTACGTCAGACATAATATAATATGTATATTTTATTTTATACCTTTGATTAAGTTTTCCATCAGTCCCATTGGTATTGTTGCTAACGGCTTTTGTTTACGTCACTCCTGTCATTACATTGTATTGTATTACTCTTCAGACATCAATTCTGAATGGCGTAAGCGAAAGTGGCACCCCCGCCACCTTCCTGGATATGCATTTAATAATGATAATAATAGTAATTCAAGGCAAAATGCGCGACCGCTGTACTAAAGACAGGAAAGCAGGCAGCATCTGAGGAGATCCTATTGCTTGACCACTCATCTATCACGTCGCTACAGCCAGAAGAAACGTAGAAATATCTCGGATTCCTTGAAGCTGGAGGTGTGGACCATTCAAGTATGAAGACGAAAATTCTGCACGAGGACAAGTGGCGTGTGCGACGAGTACTCCGCTCAGCTCTAAACTGCCACAACATCATCACAGCCATCAACACCTGGGCTGTGGCTTTGATATGGTATAGTGCTGGTATCTTGGCATGGACGCAAGACAAGTTAAATCTGCTGACCGAAGAACGTGCAAGCTTATGAATATGCATGGGGCTCTCCATCCACGCGCTTATATAGCCAGTATGGACATCAGTCGCAAGGAGGGTGGACGTGGTTTGCAAAGTATTCATGGTCTTGTCACCATGGAGAAAAGCAATCTGCATCGTTTGTTCTTCAGTCAGATGAGGAGCTCCTGAAGGTGGCTGCGAACATTCTGTAGCAACATCTGGATGCCTCACCGGACTCCTCACAGGTGGTGAAGTGTCGCTTCAAAAAGAACACCTCTTGGCGTGGACTCAGAAACCCTTGCATGGACAGTTTGTCCGGCAAACAGACCAACGGACAAAGGAGAACACCTGCAGTTGGCTGACAAAGACTGGTCTCAAGAAGACCAGAGAGAGCCTGATCATCGCGGCACAAGACCAGGCCTTGGTAACTAACCTGCTCAAGGCCCAAATCTTCTATCAGGGCAGAAGCCCCCTGTATCGAATGTGTGGGCAGGCAGGCAGGCGAGTCGGTTGCCCATATCCTATGCGAGTGTTCAAAGCTCCCTGCACGGGATTACTTGGAGCATCATAATCAGTTGGCCTCTCTGGTCCACTGGTCCACTGGTCCACTGGTCCACTGGTCGCTCTGTCGTGTACATGGGATACCATGTGAAGACAGTACTACAAGCACCACTGTGATCTGGTGCTTGCGCATACCAAGACCAATGCAACGCTATAAGAGCATCCTGCACCCGAGGATAATGTGCCTGAAGCTAGAGATACTTCAAACGCCAAAATCTCTCCGCAGGACAAGACGATGAAGATTCTGTGGGATTTCAACATCCGGTTCGATCGCTTCACGAAGCACCAGCGGCCTGATAATGTTCTGGTTGATGGAGTTGCTAAGAAGGCCCTGGTCATCGACATTGCTGTATCTGATGACCCACTCGTTGCTGAAAAGGAAGTGGAGAAACGTGCCAAGTATCAACTTCTTGCTCGCAAAATCCATCGGCTATGGCAAGTTGAGACTCAGATTGTTCCTGTAGTAGTTGGAACTTTGGGCACATTCCCAAACAGTTTTTTAAATATTTTTTATGCAAAGAACACAAACCCGGCTCGAGACAAAAATAAGAACAAGAAAGATAACAAAGTTGCATGCAGGGAAAACACAGAAACGACTAGAACACAGAAGTTGTGGGTTGACAGAACAAACAACTAATAAGTCAGGGCTGATTACTAGTATCCACTAGCACAGCTGTGTAGGTGTGTACCTACACACCTACACACCTACACACCTACACACCTACACACCTACACACCTACACACCTACACACCTACACACCTACACACCTACACACCTACACACCTACACACCTACACACCTACACACCTACACACCTACACACCTACACACCTACACACCTACACACCTACACACCTACACACCTACACACCTACACACCTACACACCTACACACCTACACACCTACACACCTACACACCTACACACCTACACACCTACACACCTACACACCTACACACCTACACACCTACACACCTACACACCTACACACCTACACAACTACACACCTACACACTCTTTTCAAGTGCTGCGGAGCTGCCCCCATCAGCGAGATGATCACAGGGCAGCGCTCCAGTCTAACTGGCGATATCTTTCGTGTGGCCCCAATTGCTCCTCATCAGCTGGCAGTGGATATAATATATCTTCGCTTGGCCAACGACCATGGCACTGAACGTTTCAGGCGTCGACCTCAGACAAATTTTGGTAACGGTCTTGCAGACGGAATTGTCATCATGGCATGGACTTACCCTCCACCAGCCGCTAGATGCTGACACAGTCCGCACAATGGCAGCGGACCGACAGGCATGGCTTGGAGCCCGCCCCACATAACAGGACTGATTATCGTGATTCACATGATTACGTCAGACATAATATAATATGTATATTTTATTTTATACCTTTGATTAAGTTTTCCATCAGTCCCATTGGTATTGTTGCTAACGGCTTTTGTTTACGTCACTCCTGTCATTACATTGTATTGTATTACTCTTCAGACATCAATTCTGAATGGCGTAAGCGAAAGTGGCACCCCCGCCACCTTCCTGGATATGCATTTAATAATGATAATAATAGTAATTCAAGGCAAAATGCGCGACCGCTGTACTAAAGACAGGAAAGCAGGCAGCATCTGAGGAGATCCTATTGCTTGACCACTCATCTATCACGTCGCTACAGCCAGAAGAAACGTAGAAATATCTCGGATTCCTTGAAGCTGGAGGTGTGGACCATTCAAGTATGAAGACGAAAATTCTGCACGAGGACAAGTGGCGTGTGCGACGAGTACTCCGCTCAGCTCTAAACTGCCACAACATCATCACAGCCATCAACACCTGGGCTGTGGCTTTGATATGGTATAGTGCTGGTATCTTGGCATGGACGCAAGACAAGTTAAATCTGCTGACCGAAGAACGTGCAAGCTTATGAATATGCATGGGGCTCTCCATCCACGCGCTTATATAGCCAGTATGGACATCAGTCGCAAGGAGGGTGGACGTGGTTTGCAAAGTATTCATGGTCTTGTCACCATGGAGAAAAGCAATCTGCATCGTTTGTTCTTCAGTCAGATGAGGAGCTCCTGAAGGTGGCTGCGAACATTCTGTAGCAACATCTGGATGCCTCACCGGACTCCTCACAGGTGGTGAAGTGTCGCTTCAAAAAGAACACCTCTTGGCGTGGACTCAGAAACCCTTGCATGGACAGTTTGTCCGGCAAACAGACCAACGGACAAAGGAGAACACCTGCAGTTGGCTGACAAAGACTGGTCTCAAGAAGACCAGAGAGAGCCTGATCATCGCGGCACAAGACCAGGCCTTGGTAACTAACCTGCTCAAGGCCCAAATCTTCTATCAGGGCAGAAGCCCCCTGTATCGAATGTGTGGGCAGGCAGGCAGGCGAGTCGGTTGCCCATATCCTATGCGAGTGTTCAAAGCTCCCTGCACGGGATTACTTGGAGCATCATAATCAGTTGGCCTCTCTGGTCCACTGGTCCACTGGTCCACTGGTCCACTGGTCGCTCTGTCGTGTACATGGGATACCATGTGAAGACAGTACTACAAGCACCACTGTGATCTGGTGCTTGCGCATACCAAGACCAATGCAACGCTATAAGAGCATCCTGCACCCGAGGATAATGTGCCTGAAGCTAGAGATACTTCAAACGCCAAAATCTCTCCGCAGGACAAGACGATGAAGATTCTGTGGGATTTCAACATCCGGTTCGATCGCTTCACGAAGCACCAGCGGCCTGATAATGTTCTGGTTGATGGAGCTGCTAAGAAGGCCCTGGTCATCGACATTGCTGTATCTGATGACCCACTCGTTGCTGAAAAGGAAGTGGAGAAACGTGCCAAGTATCAACTTCTTGCTCGCAAAATCCATCGGCTATGGCAAGTTGAGACTCAGATTGTTCCTGTAGTAGTTGGAACTTTGGGCACATTCCCAAACAGTTTTTTAAATATTTTTTATGCAAAGAACACAAACCCGGCTCGAGACAAAAATAAGAACAAGAAAGATAACAAAGTTGCATGCAGGGAAAACACAGAAACGACTAGAACACAGAAGTTGTGGGTTGACAGAACAAACAACTAATAAGTCAGGGCTGATTACTAGTATCCACTAGCACAGCTGTGTAGGTGTGTAGGTGTGTAGGTGTGTAGGTGTGTAGGTGTGTAGGTGTGTAGGTGTGTAGTTGTGTAGGTGTGTAGGTGTGTAGGTGTGTAGGTGTGTAGGTGTGTAGTTGTGTAGGTGTGTAGGTGTGTAGGTGTGTAGGTGTGTAGGTGTGTAGGTGTGTAGGTGTGTAGGTGTGTAGGTGTGTAGGTGTGTAGGTGTGTAGGTGTGTAGGTGTGTAGGTGTGTAGGTGTGTAGGTGTGTAGGTGTGTAGGTGTGTAGGTGTGTAGGTGTGTAGGTGTGTAGGTGTGTAGGTGTGTAGGTGTGTAGGTGTGTAGGTGTGTAGGTGTGTAGGTGTGTAGGTGTGTAGGTGTGTAGGTGTGTAGGTGTGTAGGTGTGTAGGTGTGTAGGTGTGTAGGTGTGTAGGTGTGTAGGTGTGTAGGTGTGTAGGTGTGTAAGTGTGTAGGTGTGTAGGTGTGTAGGTGGGGCGTTGTGGACTCCTCGGACCAGAGGTCTCAGTGTCGTTGCACACAACACGCACCAGAGGTGAGGGGGGAGGGGGGGGGGGAGTAAAAAGAAAGAAAGAAGAAAGAGTTAGGCCATCAGGTAGTATGCTAGTTCGGGTTGTACACATTGACAGCAATTCCACAAGTTTGCTCCAGGATGTACTTGTACACTGCTACTTTGAAGCGTTTCAGCGCTGCCTTGGATGAGGGAGTGTTCAGGATGGCAGAGGGTAGAGCATTCCATGTTGTTAGTAGGCTGAACGGGAAGGATCGGTGTAGTATGTCAGGACTTGTTGCGGGGAGGGGTTTGACAACTGGAAGGCATGGGAGTGTTTCACTTGATGTTGGTGGCGGGTTCTGGGGTGGTCTGGGGCGGGCGGGCTCAGGGGCAGCAGGTGGCAGCATGTCTGTCAGCTGGGCCGGACCGGAAATGTAGTGCAGCTTGAACAGGGTAGCACAGTCCCGAGACTTGCCGACACACTGATAAGCTTGGGAGCATGGTCCCAGCGCCAATGCTGTGCATGCACCGTTGCTGGACAAGCTTCGCGAGGTTGGAGGTTGAGGACTGCGCCTGGCCAGACTAGGGGAGCATATTCCATGGTTGGGCGGATGAAGCCCTTGTATATGCTGAGGCGGCCGTTACGGTCGAGTACTGGGCACACCTTCCTGAAGAAGCCAAGACGCTGGCTGGCTCTGACTGCAACCTGGTGGAGATGGCTGCGGAACATCAGTTTGCGGTCGAAGGTCGCACCGAGAAGCTTAACATCGGTTTCCTCTCTGATCACGGTACCATCGAAGCTGAGAGAAGAGGATGGGAGAGGTGTTGATTGCCTGCTCATCGACATTCCCTGGCACTTTGTCGGCTCAAACTGGACCTTCCATCTCGATCCCCAAGCTTGGAGCTCATCGAGGAAGTCTTGCAGTGAGTTAAAAGTGGCGGGAGACACGTCATCGGCATGGATCAGGCAGTACAGTGTTGTGTTAGCTGCATACGACGCTAGGTGGTAGTCAGGGGAGACACAATCAGAAATGTCGTTGACATATATAAGGAAGAGCGTTGGTCCTAAGATGCTGCCTTGTAGCACACCGACTTGGATTTAGAAGTGCGAGGAGGTCTGACCACCAACAACAGCCCTTATCTTCCTTTCCTGAAGGTAGGAGCGAAGCCAATACACAATTGACCCGCCAATGCCGAACATTTCAGCTTTGCGACCCACTATGCCTGACCACTCATGATGGAGAGCAGTGAGGAGGTGGGCAGTTCCAAGTCCACGGCGGAAGTCAAACTGCCAGGGAGATAGGACCATGTGACGTTCTAGCTGATTGACAATTTGCCTGTTGATGATAGTGTCCATAATCTTTGACACAATCATGACTCAGCAGGGAAACAGGTCGGTAATTTCTCACTGCTGCTTTGGAAGCGCGCTTGTGGATAGGCACGATGTGTGCCATCTTCTAGGGGTTGGGATGATCCGAGCAGCGTAGGCAGAGCGCACACAGCTTAGGCAGAGGGGTGCGAGCTCTTTCGCACACTCTTGAAGAACCCGTGCGTGCTGGGAGACTATCTGGACAAGTGGCTTTGTTAACTTGGACTTGCGGAGCTCCCTCTGAACCTCAGCAGTGTGAAAGCGGATCATGCCAATTGCTGGTGGGTTTTGTTACTTGGCTCTTGGAAGGCTGGACGGGTCAATGCCATTGTCTCCAAGACTGCATTTCTGTGAGAAGAAATTTCCAAAATATTCCGACTCCGCCCTTCGCGGTGCGGTGCTCTCTGCTGTTCTCATCAATGAGTGTGGGAATATAAGACTGGTGTCCAAAGCCACCTGCACCTTAATGGTACTCCACCATTCCTTATCTTTGAGACTGCCAGTTGTAAGCTTAGTGCGCAGCGTGATCTGTTCGGCAGCTTGTGCCCTTTCCATTGTACGAATATTCTGTTCCACTGCATCGGAATACATAGTTGCCAGGAGACCTTGACACCATCGGTATCACCAGCTACTGCTCTGTGTCTGAATTGCAAAATAATGCTCTCCTTGGCTTGCCAGCTATCCTGCATAAGGTCATTGCTTTGTAATGCTCTGGGGTGGGTGGTGGAGTTCTTCCAGTCCTATTTTCCTCCAAACCCTTTCGTGTTTCCTATGTTTGATATTTAGAAAAGTGTTGTGTGTTTCTCCTTGTTGTTTACCAGCCATCATATTTAATAGCCATATGATACGTGGCCCCACCTTTGGCAGCTGGATGCTAGCGCGGTGGGTGCCTATCTCTGGCCTTCGGCCGAGTGCTCATGGATAATTGGATAATTCAAAGGATCAGACGGGGAAGTGAACTGCCTCAAAGGAGAAAAAATCACCAGACCCCCAGGACCTTGTCCTGGTGGCTGAGTAGATCAGACTCACGGCCACGTGGTCTTGGACCAAAAATCACTGATACATATTTTCCCTGGTGTCAGGTCATGATCCAGGCACTATCCCAGCAGCTTGCCACTTTCTATGCCACACATTATTTTGTGAAGGTCATTCTTGGAACATCGTATAAGGTTGCTTTCCAGTTTGTTCTTTCAAACCAAATCCACAAGTCATGGGAGAGGTGCAAGTGCGGATCACCACAAATTATTATAAACTCTGTCTAATGCACTGGTGTGCATTGCAGTTCTATCTCCGTCTATCTTTAACTCAAAATCTCACTCTCTGTCTCCCTAACTCTTTCTCTCCATCGTTCTGTCCATCTTTGTCTTCATCTCTTTCTGCCTCTCTTTCTCTCATTCTCTTCTCTCGTGCTCTTTTCTCTTTCTCTTTCTCGTTCTCATTATCTATCTCTTTATACCTCTCCCTCTTTCTCTCCATCTTTCCATCTATACCTCTCCCTACCACACTTTATCTTTCCTGATCCCTTTACTATCCCCTAGTTTCTCCACTAGTAGTAATTGAAACATGGTTTACAGTTTTACTTACGCTCAGGATATCTGTGCAAACCTCAGAAAGTCTTTCTCTCAGGCTATCGAAGCTTGCGTCATTGACGGTGGCATTGATAGCAAAGCGTCCTCGAAAGCGGAGTTTATCACCAAACTCCTCCTTGACACTACGACAGCTTGTGTTAAGCTTTGCAGCAAGTTCTCCATGATCCTCTCTCTTGATCTCGTCGCGGAAGGTCGCAATGATCATGACATTGAACGGCTGGTCTGTATTTGCAACAACAAGAGATGGGAAACGCAAACAAAAATATATATATACTTGGTCCGCGTCAGCGATATTGTCGCTTATCTTTCAGCTTTGTTTATATGTCGCCAATGCTTACTTGGCAGCCCATTTCATCCCTAATTTTGGCTAGCAAATTAGTTTGCTAGTACCTGAAAGGTCTAGCTAGAGTCCGAGTGGATTTCGAGAGCGACAGGTGGGTGATTCTGATGGATACAGCGCCGCATCAAAATAGATTATCTGTTTACGCTGTGCAGGCAAGAGCAGCGCAAGCCACAAGAAAGTAATCGGCTACTCGGAATCAGCTCCATTTTGCTGAACGGCCGAGATCGCTCACCTCAGGGATCGCTCATCAAGCTGAGATCGCAGCTCCCTTACCTCCAGCTCAACGTTCGGAGTATCCAGCGCGTCGTGGAGATTTGCAAGTACTGTACGCATCGTCGTCGCTCAAAATAAAATCTTGCAAAGAACGGCGTCTGATTTGAACCACACAGGCTGTCGTGCTGCCCACGCGAAGTCCTATAGAGAATGCGACCGTCCCGATAGACTTCTCTCTAGAAAATAGCCATGCAGCGGAGAGGAAGAGAGATGAGCTTTCAAAAGCAAGAGAGTCGATCCCGAGCAAAAATATTTGTCGCCAGTGCCGAGAGCAGCGACAAGGAGGACCGAAAAAAGTAGGAACCCTTCCTTGGACAATAAATTCCTCGCAGCTAGTTGTCATTCTATACCTTACCGTCCATCGTACCAAGTTTTACCACTTCAAGTGCACGCGTTCATGTCCAAAGTCTAAGTTCAAAGCGACAATATTGCTGACGCGGACCAAGTATATATATTTGTGGTGAGGAGATTTGAGGAAAGGTGATTTTAAGCAACACGCTCTCCGCAATATCATAGTATGCAGCTAAAAAATTGGTCAAAAGAGTGTTTTAAAGCAATTGTGCTAATGCTACATCAAATGAATTGGCGACCGATAGTACGTACTAGGGTGTTATGAGCGGCCTCGAAGATATATCTCGTGAGTGAGGATGGAACCATGCCTGACCTCCATGTGTTCGGTCTCGGGCTGAAAACCTTGGTAATCTACTGGAGAAGTGGCTGCACAGGCCAGGCAGAAGTGTGCGCTGCTGTTTCTGCGACAAACAAAGAAGAAGCAGCTAATGCCGACCAGGCTGATTCAATTATCAGATCTCTGGAGAGCAAAGTCTGGAGATGGAGAAGATAGATGCAAGTTCTCTGAATGTTTCCAAAAATCTTGGGTTCCATTGGGCATAGACAATTTTGGTATGGACATAGCTTTTTTTTTTGAATTCTTTATTCTCACGATGGCACCATCGCCAATTAGAGATAAATTGATGAGAAGGTGAGATTGTGGGTTAAACAGTTGGAAAGGGATTTACATCACTTTGAACTTTACAAGTATGGGAGAGGGTGAGCGCTGCAGGAGCAGATTGAGTTAATCAGCAGTGAGCAGATTTCTTGTTTGAAAGCAGGTCGGGAGGAGACGTCACGAATGCTAGCAGGGAGGGCATTGTAGTATTCTAGGGACTTGTACAGTGGGGAGTACAGCGATCGGTTCTGGAGGGTGGGAGGTGCCAAGTGCGTGCGTGTCGAAGGCTGTACTGGGCCGTAACTTGAGCGGGGGTGTTGAGCAAGCGTATGTGTTGTGGGGCATATTGGTATTTTATGGAGTGAGCAAGAAGGGTGAGCTTCACTTTGCGGCGAGAGAGCATTGTCGGCCATTTGAGCCGATGGAGCAGTGTTGAATGATCCAGAGGAGTGTAAAGGGGGAGACGGAGGCAGATTCTGGCCGCCTTGCGCTGGATTCGCTCAAGACGGTCAAGGGCTGCGATTGAGAGCGGGGTGACAGCAATGCATGTATATTTAATTATAGGCAGGATATACGTTTTGTAAATGAGAGAGAGTGATTTAGTGTGTAGAGTTGATTTGAGCCTAAAGAGAATATTTAAAGATTTTACGGCTTTCTTCAGCACAAAGGTGGGCTGACCATCTTAGGTCGTGCTGAAAGATGATGCCGAGGTGACGATGTTGTGTTACTGTTTCTAATAGGGTTTGGCCAAGTTTTATTTCGGGTAGTCGTGGTGGGGGTCGGTTAGCATGGTAGAACGGGAGGATGACGGTTTTCGTTTTATTGACTAGCAGGTGCCAGCGCTCTAGCCATTCTGCTGCGGCATCGACGCTTCTTTGTAGCGCAGCCTCACACTCAATGTAGCTGCCTGCAATGGCAATTAGTGCGGTGTCGTCCGCGAACTGGCTACACGAGGTTGTAGCATTTTCACAGGCAGTGGGCAGGTCAATGGTGTACGCCAGGAACAGAAGTGGTCCCAGGACCGAGCCCTGGGGCACTCCTGCTGGTATTGGTATGAAGGCGGATGTTGTGCCTTCAACCTGCACCCGCTGCCTGCGTCCTGTCAAGTAGGCTTCGAGCCAATTGTGAGCCTTGCCGTCGACACCATAGTGGCTCAGCTTTTTCAGCAAGCCTTGATGCCATACACGATCAAAGGCTTTACTGAGATCGAAGAAACACGTTACAACATGCTTCCCCGCATCCCTAGCTGTGGATATCTGGTGGACGATCCGTGCGAGTTGCAGTTCGGTCCCGTCTTGTTTCCTGAAGCCGGATTGGTTGGAGGGTAAGTGCGGTGCTATGTGATTGTACAGACGAGAGTGGACTATTTTTTCTTGTGTTTTTGATATTATACTGAGCAGGGAGATGGGTCGGTAGTTGGTAGGATGGGAGGGGTTGCCCGACTTGGGGATGGGTGTAATAGTTGCGTCTTTCCAATCCTGTGGTATTTCTCCGGTTCTGAAGGACAGATTGTAGAGACTAGTGAGAGATGGGGAGATTTCCTTTGCAGTTTCTTTCAGGAGCCGAGTTGGGATGTTGTCAAAGCCTGGGCTCTTGCCAGTGTCTAGACTGCATAGAAGCTTCTCGACCTCTTCCACTGTTGCTGCGATTGTATTTAGAGTATGACTGATGTCAGGGGTAGTGTTGATGTCTGGTGTAGTACAGGTGGTCTTGTCGATGGACTGTTGGCTTTGGGAGATAAAGAACTTGTTGAGAGCTGTTGCCTTCTCCATAGCCGTGGCTGCAGTGGAGTTGGCTGTCGATAGTGTGGGAATTGTTTGCTTAGGCGGTTTTTCAGGTGCTTCAGTAGACGGTGGAGGTGTGTACCCGTTGACGTTGTTTGCTGGACAAAGTCGGACTTAGCCTGTCGCAAAAGAGCGGTTACTCGGTTACGCTGGGCTGTGTACAGTTTCCAATCTGAGTCTAGTTGGGTCGCCTTGTAGGTGCGGAACTGTTTGTGCTTTGTTTTGATCTGGCTGAGGCGATCTTTCGTCATCCAGGGACGAGTGGGCGTAGAATTTTTGCGGGACTTGCTTCTGGTCACTTGGCAGTGGTGCACGGCTAGTTTCAGTATCTGGTCTCTCCAGAAGTTCCAGAATGAGGTTACTGGCTGAGGGTCAGTGGGATGTGGATCGTACTGCAGATTGCAGGTAGCAAGAGCTTCACGCAGGGACGCAATGCGTTCCTCGCTCCACAACCAGTATGTGCTGGAGGTGCTTTGCTGTGTAGTACTGATCTCATTTTTATTATTATTTGTATTATTGTTTCTGTGGGTGGTGTGCTGCTGGGGTCGTATGTTGCCTTGTATGACAACATGATCAGAGGCACCCATAGGGGGCAGGCTTGTGATGGTGATGTTATGGCGGCTGAGGCTAGAGATGGCCAGGTCCAGGCACGATGTAGGTGTGTGTTGGCGTAGGTGGGTGGCAAAGGAGACGTGTTGTGTGAGGCCACGAGTCTCGCACAGCCAATGCAGGTCCTCACCTAAGGCATCGGTGGTGTCGCTGGGGTGCCACAAGCAGTTCTTGGCGTTGAAGTCGCCAAGGAGAAGTATCTCATCCTGGGGTCTTTTAACTAGCTTTATGGCTCTCTCCAGTTCCATCACAAACTCTTTGGGGTCGGACCGCGGGGGACGGTAGATGTTCCCTACCACAAGGGAGGCTTGGCCGATTGTTATTCTAATCCAAATACATTCCGCTTGAGTCATGGGAATGGTAATTGTCTCGTGTTGGCAGCTGTGTGGTATGTATGTGGCGACTCCTCCACCAAAGGTGTCCCGGTCCGCTCTTATGAGTTTGTAGCCGTTGATGGCGTACATCCCGTTGCTGTCCGATGGATCCGCCCAGGTTTCCTGGATGGCGATTATTGACGGTTGTTGCAACTTTGCCACGTGGCTAAGCTCGTCCATCTTGTTGAACAGACACCTGACGTTCGAGCTGATGAAATTCGCGACTTCCATTATTTTTTTTATATTTTTGTAATTTGTTTCGTTTTTTTTGGTATTTCCGCAATTGAAAGTATTGTTCTCACTGATATTGTGTGGAGGACAGCGCTAGGATTGAGTATCGTGTGACACCAGTGCCAGTGGGCTGAAGCATGAGCCCTGTGTCGGGGCAAGGGGTTGGCTGTGGCCAGGGTCGATGTTGTTGCTCTCTTTTTGTTTTTTGGAATTTTTGAAATCAGGTGAGGATTCCGCATTGGGACTGGGTCTCCTGCGTCGTTCGGAGGTAATCCAGGGGTTTGCTGGCTGGTTAGACATGTCTGTGTTAGTCACCAGTGAGGAGAGGAGGTCTTCAGCACGCGCCGAATCTGGGTGACTACACTTTGTTGTCGGAGTAGTTGTCTCGGTGTGCGGTGAGTTGGATGTTGTCGTACTTGTATTTGTGCTGCCTGGCGGCGTTCCGGGGTGCACGGTCGTGCTGGTTGCGGACACGGGCGATGCGATGTCGTGTTCGTACGACTCGTACTGGTTGTTGACTGGGTCGTTTGGGTGCGAGCTCGAGAGCACGTCTCCTTTCGGCGTGGTGTTGGCACCATCGGAGGCCGTTTGGGATACGCCGCTGGCGTGGGTCAAACTTCGGGAAGCTTTTGGTGCCGAATCGGTACGGTGAGACTCCGCTTCAGCAACGCTGTTCATGTTCCGCTCTGTGCTGCCAGTGCTGCTGCCTTCTCTGCCGGCATGCGTGGAGGTGTGTGCACTGCGACGGTTTTGGCAGGTACGCGCGATGTGACCTAGCTGGCCACATAGCCTGCACGTGCCTACCTGGCCGTCGTAGATGATGCGGAGCTCGTGAGAACCTTCTGCCGTACGCAGGTACGACGGGATCGAACTGCCTGGTTTGAGTTCAAACGTGGGGAATCGCACACCAGTTGCTGTTTGGGTGCCGTTTGAAAGTTTGATTTTGCCGTGTCGTATCTCACCGATAAGCTTTCCGTACGGTGAGAGCACAGCTTTTAGGACACCGTCTGAGATCCAGATCGGAGCATCGTGGATGTGTATCTGTGTTGTTGGTGCGGAAACGAAGCGTGGTGAAACCCGTTCGCCCTTGCAATCGAAGCCATTGAGCACCAACAATTTGGCTTTTTCATATGACTCAACGGTAAGTCTACATTGACCCCTGCTTGTTGTCTGCATCGAAATGATGCCGGTGATACCTTGCTCTTCTAGGAGCTTTATGTAGGCCCCCACGCTTACCTGGGCTTGCGAGGGGAATACAGACAGTGTTCTTCTTCAGTGTCGAAGACGAGAGCTGTCGCCAGGGCTCCGTATCAGCTCCGTTTCCGGCCATGACGCCTGGCGGTTGTAGTGAATCAGCACTCTAGGTGATCTAGTTTGCTACCTGTGCATCCACAGCCATACGGGCTGGGAGCGGACTATTATGCTAAAAAAACTACGGAGCTCCAAAAACTGCTTCCGCTCTCCAGCTAGTTGATTGTATTGTTGTTTATTTCGGACGTTGCTCAATTGGAGAAGAGAGCCGAATATTTGAACCACGGGCACGGCTCTTTCATTCAAGGCTCTCAACACTAAAGGATCTGCACATTTTCGATCCAGAAGCTGTTTGTTGTTTCTCACTTGTCAGTTGTGGACTCATTGTTGCAGCAAAGATGAGGCGGGAATATTCCATGCCCTAAAATAAAATAATTAATTTCTTTCTCAAACACAAAGCTCACTTTCCCTGCCTGGATTTATGTGCCCGTGACAAGTCTGTGGACTTGTGCCACGTGATTCATGTAGCACGACAGTCCGGGTGTCCAGTAGACTGGTAGCAGTACATACCTTTATGCACAGACCATAGTGCTCTGTGTGGTAAAACTGTTAACCACTGCACAAACACAGCGTGAAAATTTCCAACTCTGGAAAAGATTAGTATAATGTCCACTATCCGTGCACGCGCCCATGTGCCATGTATCGACACTCTTATCTCATTTGCTAGACCACCTCCGTGTCAACATGCATGGGCAAAAGGAAAGACCCAGTACATGGGGCAGTGCATGTTCAGCTTGATGTGCAGTAACAATTCGTTAGTACAGTGTACAGTGTAGTGCACAGCACTTGTGAATAAAACTGTTTGTTTTTTCACGGCTTAGCGTAGCGAAAGAGTGCAAAAAACGTATTTTTTTCACTCACAAATATTTTCGTGCATTTGCTCTTGTTCTGCGCAACTCCGTTGAACCTGCCATCGTGGTCTTTGTTTTTCCTCGTGGTAGTTGAAGTTGACCGCCCACTCACCCTGGTTTCAGGGGGTCATCCGCTGTTCTTCTTGACAATCTATGCCTATGTGTGTGGCTTATGATTACGACATACACCGGTTATTACATACCATTTCTTGCTATTTCTATTCTTGGGTCCGACTGGCAGCGGGGCAGGAATTAATGAAATAGAAAGGTTTTTTGGCCGAAAGGCGTGTTTTTCCTCTAGCCAGGTCGAGCGGTCGCGGCTAGGATTGTAGGGAGTCATTGTTTTTCAGGTGCTCCCCTGCTGCCCAGTCACCCATGCTCACCACTGGCCATACTGTTTCACTTGATTTCAAGGCCTTTTCTCCCCCTTGCTGGCGGTTTTTTGATGGATTTAGATGTTTTTCGGCTATTTATCTATTATGTGGCTGCGAGTGTGGCTTTTTGCTTCTACTCATTTCTGGAAAACCACCACGGTGGTGAGTGTGATTGCTCTGGTAGACCACTACCCCATGTACTGAACAGTCGCTTTGTGAGTGAAAAACTATTTGTTCATGTGAAAAACAGTCTGATTTCACGTATCCAAAATATCGCCGGGACCACATACGCTCCCGGGCCCATATTGACGCACATGTGCTCGACCTTCACCAATGTTTCAACCCAAGGACTTATTACAGGCATTTACCATGGACAGAGAGATGAATATCTAGGGCTGAGTCTGGTAGCATTTTTCTTCAGGGATTTTCTTGGGTAGTTTTCCACGGGTAGCACGGATACCCTATTGGGTAATGTTTCCATGGTGACAGCACAATGCACTCCTTCCCTTACACACTGGATAGACATGCAGAGTACTACATGAATTTGTACATGTGCACTGTACATGATGCCATCAGCGACTTCGGGTTTTCAGGTACTATTCTGTACCCGTCTACACGAGATCCTCACGGGCTGCATGGGTATCCCACTACCCATGCACACCACTATTAATAACACACACACACACATAACACACACACACACACCTGCATGCACACACACACACATACCTGCATGCACACACACACAGTGCCCTCCCTGCACCAGTATACAGAATCAAACACATACCCCAATCCTTCATTCATTCATGTAGTGTCGTGGACATGGAAATCCGGTCACACATCTAGCGGCCCCAGGGCACTCGCCATGCGGCCGTGGACAAGCGGTACACACATGTATTTATGCTCTGCAGAGCGCTGGTCATATCGGATCAACATGTGCACTGCACGCAGCGTTCTGTTTGCGCTGAGGGTGCCGGCCCCGGTCAATCAACTGAATTTCCATGTCTGCTACAGTATATGCCGACATACGAATCAACAGGCACAAACAAAATTTCACAAAAACGCATTTGATAAAATATCGTACTGACCTGATGTTACCGATGGTGGCCTCCGGCTCAAAAACCGACCAACTGTGGTGGTTATGCTTGTTGTAATGAGTTTCTCGTCCCATTTACTATTGACAACAGCAAGACCGAGGCTTGGTACTGATGTGGATAGGCAGAAAATGTCGTGTGTCGCTGAAAACGCGTCCTGCCCAGCGAGATCTTTGATACGCAAATGCTGACCACGCTCATCAGTGAAGTTGGACATCTGGATGCCTCGGGTTCGTTTCGAGTCGTTCGATGTGCCATTGTTTCCTTCTTTTCTCAATGTCTTGATCAGTGTCGACTTCCCAACAAGTTGTTCCCCGCTAACTAGAACAACTAGAGTATTAGCATCCACTTGTCCTTCGGAATAAAATTCCTCCAGCTGAAGGTAAGTCTGCGTATATATAATACACACAAGAACAACAATTAAAGAATAGGGGGTTCGTCAACTTATAACCACTCTATGCAGTTGCTATTCACACTTGGCGCATGCGCTGGATGAAAATTCTTTATCGGTGACGTCAAAAATTGTGACGTTTCGGGCCACTCACTGTGAATAGCAACTGAATAGAGGGGTTGTCAGTTGATAAACCCCCTTTCCTTTATAATGCAGTTGCGTGCTGCCCACCATTTTCTTAGTAAAGAATAACAATTACTGGATATAAGTGTTGAAGGCAACTTTTCCTTAAAGGCTGTGAAGATGATAATGCTCCATAGTTGGCAGTGTTCATCTGTTTGACAGTAAAGTATGTGAGGATCACATTTCTTAAGTGGAGATGATTTTTTTAATAAATCGGACAATGCAAATGAGAAGATCAGCTTGTCCACATGTCCACATGCTATATGGTTCTTTTGGCAAGCGGCATGCACTGCACACATGTACTTGCCTGAATTTAAACACAAGCAGGAAATGAATCTATAAAGATTCTTGCTACTTTCAACACTAGGATGGTGGACATCGAAAAAATGAGTTGGTGATAGCTTTGTGAAACGTATTGAAAGTACAGACGGCTTTTTACCATATGCACGGATTGAAAACGAAACTTCATCCTTTTTTTATCAATTATTATGTACA